GTCCGGGCTGGGGATTCGAACCCGCCACCTTAGGTGTACGTGGCTGGCGCCTTAGCCGGTTGAGCTATAGGCGCCGAGCCTATTTTGTTCAAATTAAGGAAAAGCTGTCTCATCCTAACACCACGTCTAGGGAGCATGTCTGCAAATGAAAATAAACAGGGTCTAGAGAAGGAAAGACAAAGGCTTCACGTTGCTGCTTGAGCCCCTAGATCCAGCTAGGCCTGAAGCATCCCTCTGCTTCACTCCTCATTCATGGGAGCTAATGCACTTTCCACCTGAATGCCACTAGATTGCAAGCTCTGCGTAGGCCATGACATGGTCTCTATCGTCCCTCACTCTATCCTCAGTGCCCAGCAGTGTGCCTGACATAAGGAAGCACTCAGAATACTCAGCCAAATGGGGCTCAGCCCCACGGAGAGCATGCAGAGGACATCAAACCCACGCCAGTAGCTTATGTTTCTTTAGAGCAGTGTTTGTAATATAGGAAAGATCTCCATCCCAAAATCACGTGGTGGGGGCGGAGATTGTGGAAATGCTGACGCCCGAGCCCCACCCTCTAACCTAGCCTCTCAGGCCAGTCTTGAGTCACACTCACTGTCTGACACGGCTCTGTTCTCTAGCCTCACCTTTCCCTCCTGCTCACCTCTAGACTTTGCTCATGCTGTGGTCTCTGCCACCTCTTCCATTTCCCAGCTGACTCCTTTTCATCCTTCAGGCTTTGAGAAGCCTCCCCTGTGGTCCTACGCCTGTCTCAGGGTTCTTGGCAGTCTGGGAAGGAGGACTACAGCTCCCGGATTCTGCTACCACCCTCGCTGCTTCTGCCCAGCCCAGGAAGCCGCTTACCTGGATCTTGTAGTTGAAGAACTGTGCTGAGCGCTTGAAGCGGCGGAAGCCCTCAGTCTCCTTAGTGGCCACTGTGAGGACTAAGAGGTTGTCTGCAAGCAGAAGGGTAGGGAGTAGGAACGCAGGGTGAGGGGAGGTGGCAGGAAGGAGGAGGTCACTGCTCCCAGTGGCCTGTCAAAGCCTAGCAGCATAGGTCTTCACATTGACCTACTGCAGACAAGGGCCCAGGTAGAACGGGATGGACCAGATTCTCACTCAGGAACAGGGACATAAACTGGGTCTCCCAATCCCCTCCAGGGCTCCTTCCACCAGGTAACTGACCAACGTGTCAAGGAGCCTGTCCTATCGGCAACCACGTCCTGTCTGCACCCTGCATTGTGAGACTAAGTCTCTGGCTCTGTAGAGCTCAGGTGGGGCACAGGGACAGAGAGGAGGATTTATTCTGAATGCTAACCATCAGGAGGATCTCTCCAGCCAGAGCAGAACATTAGGCCAGGAACTGCTCAGGGGTCCCCCTGCTCTCCACACCTGCACCCATTGCTAATTCATCCCATAGTCTTTCTTGCTGGCCCTGATTCTCCCAATACCATGCCTCAGGTTGATATGGCCAATGAGAGTTGGCCTAGCATGAAAACTGACTTGAAATCCCTCCATCAGTCCACTCCTGACCTTTGGTCAGAGAAGCTGTCATTAGCTTCTTCACAAGGGATTCCTCCAAGGCTCTAAAGTGTGGCTGGCTTCACCTCTGCAACAGAACCTACTGGAAACAACTCCCTACACAGCATCTCTGGGAGCCCTGGGAGAGCCTCCCAGAGCACAGTTCGTGGCTGTGTTCTCTGAGAAGTGAGGAGTCCGGAGCTGGCCTGACTGGTCAGAAGCCAGCTCTGCTCTGTACCAGCTTCATGACCTTGGGCAAGTCCCTGTCCTCTCTGAGACTCAGCTTCCACTTATAAAAGAGCGATGATAATAGAACCTACTTCTTAGGGCTGTTGGACTAATTAGATGAGACCAGGCATGTAACACCCTCGCTGTCATGTACGGCAAATGCTAAGAGCTACTACTGGCGCTGAGTAACAAGAGGCCAATGTCTTGCTCTGGAATTCAAGGCCCTCCCTGATCCAGCTGGGTGAGATGCTTATCCCCTCCACCATATGGGCCTTCCTCCAGCTGGGGGTCTCTCCTTGCTGGACTCCTCCCTCCTGCTATGGTTCTCTCTGTGTCCTACTTGTCTAACCCTCCCTCCAGATCCGAGAGCCAGCCACAGTGACACCCCTTCCTCTAGGCCTCTATGAAGCCTTCTCCTGCCCTCTCTGGCCTCTGAGACTCTGAGGCAGGACCCACTTTCAGAGCCCATTATTGTTTCCCTGTGTGAGTCTTGATTCCCTAAAGGCCCAGGGCTCACAATTTTGGGGTTGCAAAGAACCCACCCAGGGGCCAGGTCAGCAGCAGGTAGGTTAAAGCCCGCCCTCCCTCCACAGCCGGGAAGTCAGGAGGAGCCTGGACTCAAACAACAAAGGGGTCCAGCTTGCCAGAGCTGGTGGCAGCCCTCACAGGCTGCTGGCCCCAGGGCAGGGGGCTGGCACTGGGTAGCCAAGCAGAGATTGGCAGGAATCAGCTGGGGGTGGGCCCAGGGACCTGAGGCAGGAGGGGTTGGGTTCAGCAGGCAGGTGTGGAGAGGAGAGACTTCACCACCTGACCCTGGGGTCCAGAAAAGAGGGGTGCTGCTCACACTTGGGGAAGGGCTCCCCCAGCTCCTGCTGGGATGGTTAAGTCTTTCCTTTAGGTGAGAAGAGCCAGAGTCATCAGCTCTGAGGCATCTTGTCAACAGGGGGCTGCTGGGGACAGGAAGAGTGTCATATTTCATGGATGGAAAAAGCCAGCCTGTGTGTCTGAGTGTGTGTGTGTGTGTGTGTGTGTGTGTGTGAGAGAGAGAGAGAGCTTGTATTGGGGAGGTGAGATCCAACAGTCTCAATGGAAACTCCTGAAGTCTAGCAACAGGGAAGGGGGAAGGGGAATGGGGACACGTGTCTCCAGACCCCTTTCTTGAATTCCTCCTTCTAAATAACAGGAACAATATCAGCGAACTTTTATCAAGCACTTTCTGAATGCCTGACGCTGTTCTAAGCACTGACATATAACATCCCCCCCCACCTTTTCCAGGGAGGAAACTGAGGCTCAGAGATGGTGAGCAACTCCAACTGGGTGCAGTGGCTCACGCCTATGACCCTAGCATTCTGGGAGACTGAGACAGGAGGATCGCTTCAGATCAGGAGTTCAAGACCAGCCTGAACAAGATGAAGACCCCCATCTCTACTGAAAAAATAGAAAAACTATAGCCGGATGTTGTGGCGGGCGCCTGTAGTCCCAGCTACTCAGGAGACTGAGGCAAGAGAATGGCCCGAGCCCAAGAGCTGGAGGTTGCTGTGAGCTGTGATGCCACAACACTCTACCAAGTGCAACAAAGTGAGACTCTGTCTAAAAAAAATAATAAAGGCTTGGCACTTGTGGCTCAAGCAGCTGAGCCTGGCGGGTTTGAATCCAGCCCGGGCCTGCCAAACAACAATGACGGCTGCAACCAAAAAAATAGTCGGACATTGTGGCAGGTGCCTATAATCCCAGCTACTAGGGAGGCAGAGGCAGGAGAATCACTTGAGCCCAGAAGTTGGAGGTTGCTGTGAGCTGTAATGCCACAGCACTCTACCTAGGGTGACAGCTTGAGGCTCTGTCTCAAGATAATAATAATAATAAAATTTAAAAAAATAGAAAAACTAGTTGGGCATTGTGGCAGGCACCTATAGACCCAGCTACTTGGGAAACTAAAGCAGGATTGCTTGAACCCAAGAGTCTGAGGTTGCAGTGAGCTAGGTTGAGGCCATAACACTCTAGCCTGTACAACACAGGAAGATTCTGTTTTTTGTTTTTTTTTTTTGAGACAGTCTCACTTTGTTGCCCCCAACCCTGTAGAGTGCCCTGCTGTGGTATCACATAGCTCACAGCAACCTCATACCCTTGGGCTCAAGCAATTATCTTGCCTCAGCCTCTCAAGTAGCTGGGACTACAGGTGTCCACCCCAACACCTGGCTATTTTTTTTTTTTGAGACGGAGCCTCCAGCTATCCCCCTTGGTTGGGTTGCGTTGGCTTCCTGCTCACAGCAACCTCTAACTCCTGGGCTCAAGCGAGTCTCCTGCCTCAGCCTCCCAAGTAGCTGGGACTACAGGTGCCTGCCACAACGCCTGGCCATTTTTGGGTTGCAGCCATCATTGTTGTTTGGCGGGCCCGGGCTGGGGATTCCAACCCTCCACCTTAGGTGTATGTGGCTGGCGCCTTAGCCACTTGAGCCACAGGCGCCGAGCCAACACCTGGCTATTTTTAGGGACAGGGTCTCCCTCTTGCTCAGGCTGCTCTCGAACTTCTGAGCTCAGGCGATCCATCTGCCTTGGCCTCCCAGAGTGCTGGGATTATAGGCATGAGCCACCATGCCAGTCCAAGATTCTGTTTAAAAAAAAAAAAAAGGCCTGCGAGGTGGCTCATGCCTATAATCTTAGCACACTGGGAGGCTGAGGCAGGATGAGCTCAGGAGTTAGAGATCAGCCTGAGCAAGAGTGAGACCTGGTCTCTAAAAACAGCTGGGCCTTGTGGGGGGTGCGTGTAGTCCCAGTTACTTGGGAGGCTGAGGCAAGAGGATTCCTTAAGCCTAAGAGTTTGAGGTTGCTGTGACCTCTGATGCCATGGCACTCTACCCAGGCGAACAAAGGGAGACTGTCTCAAAAAATAAAAAAGAAAAAGAAAAAAAAGAGATGGTTAGCAACTTGTTAAAGGGAGTCAACAAGTGGCAGCACCAGGATTTGGCCACAAGAAGCCTAGACCCAGAGTCCCCTCTGATCCAGCTGCATTTCCCAGGCCTGGGATGGTGGCCAGGCCATCTGCTGGAAGGGCCCTGTCTTTCCATCTGTCTAAGGAAACTGTCTAGCTGGGTTAGCAGGGAGGGCCTCAGGCCATGCAGAGCCCCCCCCCCCCCCCCGCCCCATGCCTCAGCCTATCTCTCCCCTGTTTTCCTCCTCACTGCCAAGGCCCTCACAAATCCTTGGGCCCCTTGGGCTACCACCCTGGCTGAGCATCCCAAAAGATCACCCACTTAGAGGGTCCCAAACCTGCCTATCCACCCACATCACAAGGAAGGCTGTGACATGCAGGTGCTTAGGACCCAGGACTGGGGGTTGAGGTGAGCCTAGGAGCCTGGTTTTTCTACCCTTCCCAGGTGATCTCTGATGCCACATTTGGGAATCACTGGTCTAATCCATGTCCCTGGTCCTCTGATTCTGGGCTCCAATGCAGGGGTCTGGGAAGTGGCTCACAGCAACAAAACTCCAAGCCTCTCCCCAAGGGACCCTAGCATCCCCTCTCTACACTCCCACAAAAACAACCTCAGAAAACCCAGCCTGCATCTCATCCCCTTGACCTGCCCACAATACTCATTTCTCCTTCTAAAGAGGCCCCCCAGGATACCGCCTCCAGGAAGCCTTCCTGGTCTCCTTCCCTTCAGGGATCACGCCTTTGCGGGTGTAGTCTTGGTTTGCCCAGCAGTTGACCTATTGGTCCAAACCTGCTCCTTGTCCCTTTGCTGGGTCAGAGTCTCATCTTTATTTCCTTGGTCTCTTTCTCCTTCACTGTGGTTGGGACTGAGCATGACCAAGGCATGGGGTGCACTCCCAGGTCTTTTTTTTTTTTTTTTTTTTTGAGACGGCGCCTCAAGCTATTACCCTGGGTAGAGTGCCATGGCTTCACAGCTCAGAGCAACCTCCAACTCCTGGGCTCAAGCGAGTCTCCTGCCTCTGTCTCCCAAGTAGCTGGGACTACAGGCACTCGCCACAACGCCTGGCCATTTTTTGGTTGCAGCCATCATTGTTGTTTGGCGGGCCCGGGCTGGGGATTCGAACCCGCCACCTTAGGTGTACATGGCTGGTGCTTTAGCCGCTTGAGCCACAGGCGCCGAGCCCACTCCCAGGTCTTAAGCAGAAATGTGGGAGTGTGATTTTGCTCAGAGCTACTACCAGTGGAGCCTTATGAGATGCATGAGCGGCATGAAGCATGTTGTGTTCATTATGCCATTTAACCACCAACACCCTGTGACGTAGATGCTCCCTTCTACATGTGTGGAAACTGAGGCACAGAGAGGCTGAAGAACCTGCCTGAGGTCACAGAACCTTAAAGTGAGAGGGCAATGAGCTGGAATTCCAAAGGCCCAAGCTTGTGTTTTTTGTTTTTTTTTTTTTTAATTGAAACAGAGTCTCACTTTGTCATCCTTGGTAGAGTGCCGTCCCGTCATAGCTCACAGCAACCTCAAACTCTTGGGCTTAAGAGATTCTCTCACCTCAGTGTCCCAAGTAGCTGGGACTACAGGTGCCCACCACAACACCCAGCTATTTTTTTTTGGGTGTTGTTTAGCAGACCCAGCGGAGTTGGAACCTACCAGCCCCGGAGCATATGGCTGGCGCCCTAACCACTGAGCTATGGGCACCTGTTTTTTTTTTGTTGTTGTTGTTTGTTTATTTGTTGTTCAGAGACAGGGTCTCCTTCTGTTGCCAGGCTGGGGCACAGCACAGTGAAGCAATCATAGCTCACTGCAGCTTCCAACTTCTGGGTTCCAGCAATCCTCTGGCTTCAGCCTTTCTAATAGCTGGTACTATAGGTGTGAGCCGCTGAGCCTGGCCTCCCATGCAACTTCACCATTTCCCTGCCCAAGAGCCCTACATCCCCAAATGCCACAGACTCCCAGCTCAGACTGAATCTAGCATTTCCAGCCACCTTCTCCCAGGCCTCCCCCACAGGGCACTCAGTTCCAGTCACGCGGTAAAGTCTTTTCCCAGATTTTTGTCAGACCCAGCCAGAGCTCCAGAAACTCTTAGAGGACGTGGAACTGGAAGATTTGATTTTGAGTACCAGGGCACTGCCTGGTTCTGTCTGGCTCTAAGCCCTCCCCACCTGCTGCCCAAAGTCCAGCAATGATTTCCCCAGACAGATGAATCCAGGATACAGAGTCAGCAGAGATAAAAGAGAGACAGTGGGGAGGATGGGGAGGGTGGTAAAGATAGATCGCTTGGCAAGTGACTTAGCCTCTCTGCACCTCAGTTTCCTCATCTGTATAATGGGACTAATACAGATAATGATAGTATCTCCCTCCAGAGACTCTCATGAGGATTTGGTGAGCTGATGTCTAGGGTAAAGTGTTTTGCAGTTTGCCTGTGCTGGTGGCCGTGTGGGTTCTGGCCTAGGGAGCCTCCCCCAAGGTGGGAGAACTGCCTGGGAAGTTGCTGCTCTGGGAGGCAGGGATAGAGCATGATCGCCTTACTGAGAACAAGGAGGATGTGGAAAGGCTGAACAAGGAGGCCTGGGGAGGATGAGGAGGCTCCTGGAAGAAGAGGACTTCTGGGTCCTGGGAAGGCACTGAATCAGCTCTGATTTAGCTGTGCCCACTGACACCCCTCCTACCTAAGTGGTTCCAGGCCAAGCAAGGGAGTGGATGGGCGAGGTATCGCCTCAAGTGTCAAGCACAGTCATGACATACCCAGTCTGCTCTCTGGGGAGATGGGACTGAATGAAGCCCATCCCCCCCACCCTCTGTCCTCTATTATGACCCCAGGCTTATACAGAAAGCACAAACAGGATCTGGCAGAATGGCAGGAGATGGCAAGGCCTGGCACTTGAGAGCCAATCTCAAACTCCAGGGGGCCCATTCAGGCCTCCTCAGACCCACACCCCATACCATCCAGCCCACCTGCCTATTCCATTCCCCGAAGTACAAGGGCACCACCCGGGAATCCCCACCTAAGTAAGCCCCGCTGAGGCTGTGACCTCAGTAACTATCCTTCCCTCACTGCAGCCAAGCTGAGGCCTGAAGGGAGGTGTGAACAGCCGGCCTACTAGAAGCCTCTGCAAAAGGGAGAAAAGGCCTGAGCACCTGGCCTCGCGCCCCTTCAGCTCTGCAGGCATTGGATGCTGCTTTATTGAAAACCTTTTTCTGGGCTTGGCACCTGTAGCTCAAGTGGCTAAGGCGCCAGCCACATACCCCTAAGGTGGCGGGTTCGAATCCAGCCAGGGCCCGCCAAACAACAATGACAGCTGCAACCAAAAAATAGCCGGGCGTTGTGGCAGGTGCCTGTGGTCCCAGCTACTTGGGAGGCTGAGGCAGGAGACTCGCT